GTCCTTTATAGACAGCTTGCAGACCATGTTCGACGCGACCAGGAGAAGGTGCATGCTCGAGGGTGTTCTATGTCAGGCCTGACGAGGACCTTTAGGGAGGGCGGAGAGGTTAGAGAGATCAATGCAGCAACTTTCGTGGACATGGTGATGAAGTCTACCTCTGTTGGGACCAGCCATGTGTTGGACGATCACACCGGCGATGATCAGCTGCTAATGTACCTACTGTGCTCCAGCCCTCCGTGCCTCCCTGATGCTCTGCTGCAGGATGGATCGCTTGCAAGTGTCGGCGGCAGAACGGAGACGAGACTCAACATACTTCGAGAGCAATCACATGAAAATAGACAAAAACGCCTTTCGAAGTTTCGGGGTTTACAATGGAGAAGTTCTGTGCGGCAGACTTGAGGTGTAAGAGTTTGCGGGGTTGGCCCCATTGAAGCTGCTCCTGCAGGAACGTCCCGGAGCAGTGGAGATAGTCGATGAGCACGACAAAGTGGATAGTTTGAAACCTGTGAAGCGTCTCGAGACAAGATATGTCACTGGGAGAATCCATGACATCTACAGGTAAGAGCACCGTATCCAGTCGCTGCCTCAGTGCATTTGAACAGTCGGAATACTATCATCAGCATCATAACGAGCAGCAAGGGCTTCAACCATCTGTTAGACGTAGACTGGTGTTCCCCATTGCCATGTGAATGAGTATGCTCCAGAATCTGATCCGTTCGGGGTTTGATCTCAACTTCAACATCGCCAAAGGCAGCAGAGTCTCTCGGTAGTCTGAGCATCTCAAGTCCAGTGTGACGCTGACGGGAAGTCAGATGCTGGCGAATCACCTCTGAAGATACGCCAATAGGAGCGATCTGGGATAGTCCTGGGACTTACAGCTGTCTGAAGTGAGAGGCTGAACATGAGGGCGGGTAGGGGATGACTAGGCCTAAAGGTGGCAAGTTCAATCACAGAACGAGTCTTGGGGTACTGTCTGCATGTACATCAGCGAATTCAGCGACACGTTCAAAATGCAATGAAGCGACGATGATGTATTCGAGCTGACTCGACCCTGCAGGTGCTGGGATGCGTTTCGAAACAGCAGAAACAGCTCAGACATGCGAAGGTACTTGATGGAGCTCGGGTTCTTAACATCCCCTGTGTATTACAAGGCAAACTCTTGCGACCTCGACTCCACCAAGGGAAAGTTGGACAAGATCAAAATGAGATGAATTCCGACGTCTCATCCGAATCTTTCAGCTCGACCAGCGCTCGTTCATTTTCCTGCAAATATTTCAGCGTATGGAGCAGGAGAGATTGAAACATAGAATACATTCATCTGCTGCTGCTGTAGGCGCTTCCTTGCGTCCTCGGCCACTCCCTCTTCAACCTGGCGCTGTACGTTTGTCAGAGGGGAGACGGACAGGAGCGTCGGAGCTCACTCGTTTCTCCTCCTCATCTCGCTCCATCTGACTGATTTCAGACATGCTGACTTCTTCTGGAGGTAGCCCCCGCCTAGTAGCGAGTCAGTGCAGCAGCAGCGGCAGCGGCAGCGGCAGCAGCAGCAGCAGCAAGAAAACTCACTCATCTGCGACTTTTCTCTGAAGGTGCAGCATGTATGAGACTCTCGACATACTGTATCCACACATGTCCGCCTCCGTCTCGTTCAGCCGTATCGATCCATTCTCCCCCCGGATGAATAGGGGATCATCAAAGATCATAAACAGGCTCTTCCTGCTTTCTTCATCTGGCACGAGCTTCACTGTTGTGGGATATTCTCGGTCTGCTGTAAGTTTGGCTTCCTCCTTGACCTGGGTACAAGTCAGGGAGTGGAGATTTGAAATCAAAGGCAGACCCTTTGAGAAGTGCGATAATCGACGAGCAGCTTTTGAACTCTTCCCTGCGTCATATTGTCAATTAGACTGACGGCAGTCCCACACGTCTTCATACCTCTGGAACTATCCAATCGAAGTGTTTTTCTTTGATCGCATTGCAAATCCTCCGGAGCCCGTGATTCGGGTTGTCCCTTTTCAAGCCTTCAACTTCTGCCCGAAGTTCCTTGAAATTTAAAACTCAGCAGAGTCATGATAGAAAAAGGGCAAATGTGTATGAGGAGAAGAGAATGGAACAGGAAGGAGGAGGAGGAGGAGGAGGAGGAGGAGGAATTACCTCCATGATAGGGACTCTCTTTGGTTTGTCCATGAGCGCTTTCTTTTCGTTTTCTGTCAGCAGTTCTGATGTCATTGCTTGCTTTCTGTCCGTCAATCTCCTCGTCCGTTCAAGGTCCTCGTCTTTCTCCGCCATCTCCTTTTCCAGCGTTCGCAAGATGGCACCCTATGTAAAGTCAACGGATGTGCTCGGACGGAAGAAGTAGAGGAACGCAAACCTTCTCTTTGCTTGCTTGTACCAAGTCAGCCTCCCAGTCAACTAAAGTTTCAATGCCGTCCCTGTCCATTTCCGAGGTCTCCGAGGCAGTCTCGCTCTCCACGTAGGACTCATTCTTGATCTCTGTCTTGAGGCGCAGAGATCTCCGAATGAACTGAGTCATGTTGTCATCCCCGTACTCCACTCCGCTCTTGATGACGTGGAGGGCTCCGGCATGAATCGCGTAGTCATCGTCGAGGACGTTGGCGATGGCAAGAGACACAAAAAACCTCATGTCTGCTTCATCCATCTCAGAAATCTCCTGCATGCTGACAGCTGAGACAAGACATCCTCTTCGTCTTGCAATGACCCGGCGGAAGATTTCATGTCTCTCCTCTTTGCGTGCACTGTTACACAGCAAAACTCCCCGACGCCACAGCTCGTCGTTGATCCTCTGCAAGCCCTTGAACTTCAGGTTCACATTGTCACTCTGCATCAACTGTATGATCTTGTTCTTCGCCTTCTCCTCCTCTTGCAGCTGCTCATCGAGATCGTCTGCCTCTATCTTCAAGTCCTCCTCGTGATCCAACTGGTTCCTGTACGCCATGAGCAGCCTCGCCTCGTCCATCGTGTGTATGAAGCAATTGGCCGTCTCCCCAGCTTCTCGGATCAGCGGCCGCAGATCACCGTTAAGGTGGAAGGGAAGGGCGCGGTATTCGTCGGGATCTCGATTGAAATTTGGGTTCATCGTAGCGAGCACGTGGGGGAGGGGAAGTTCCTGTATCCTCAAGTGCGTGTGCATTGGAAAGTCTTCCTCCTCATTGATAGCGTCAAAGTTCTGCTTGATCTGCAGATGCTCCACTGGGAATATCCTTTCTGACATTAACGACAGCGCACGACTGAAGTGGTCTCGACACTTTCGATATTGCAATTGAATCCAAGAATGGTATGGGATGTCCATTTCAGTATCAGACGGCATCTCGCTCTCGCTGTCATTCATCAGCTCCTTCTCATCTGTGTGGAACTCCGGATCTGATCGAAACATGCTCCTGCAACAACGAGATATCGTCATCACCGCGTGTAGAAACAGAACAGTTCTCACATGTAGATCTTTCTGATGCGCAAGCATGCAATGTTGTTCTCAGCAATAGCCGTGTAGATTGATGGAAGATGTTGCATTTCAACAGCCTGCAGAAAAGCAACATGAGCATGAGGTAGAAGGGTGATTGAAGGATACATCATCAGTCTCGATTGAATTCGCATAGTGTCGCAAGGCGATTGTATAGTCCTTCCACATGCTCTTGGCCAACTTCTCGTTCTCTTTACACAGGAAGGAAACATTCCATGGTGACTGACGGAGATTCCTGGTATCACTGACAACAGCAAACATATGGTTGACTAGCTTGTTGTAGTCGCTGGCCCACTTCGACACCAAGACATTAGCTATACGCATGCTGGTGTGCACGTTCAAGACGAGGTTGGTGGATCGATCAAGAGACTGAAGTGCAGCGAGATTGAGCTCCAGGGATCTTTCACGCAACCTCGAGCAGATCGACTCATCCCCCAAGTCAGGCTTTTGCAAGGCTGACGCTCCCATGCCTTGTACAGCTTTGGTGACATCATCAATGCCGTTGCTCCTGATCCACTGCAACGAGCCTGATCGAGGAGTGCAGGCGAGGAGGGCGACATGAACAGCCTGCAACTCCTGCAGGCTTGAGGACGAGCAGCTCAGAAAGACAGGATCCTGACAGATCTCCGCCATGCAAAGGTGAACGCTCGCGCTGAGCGAAGAAGAGGACGAGGAGGAGAATGAGAGCATAGGAGATTTGGGATCAAGAACGAACCCAATGCTGGGTTCAAAGGAACTGCAAGAACGAGATGGTTGAGATGAGAAGAGGAAATCAGACAAACTCACATGTCATGCTTGCACAACATTTCAGATAGAAGCGAGATGGACTGGAGAAGATGCTTCAGGGCATGGTCGAGGTTTAGAAGTCGAGATCCCTTGATCCTGCAGGAATATGCTCGTCCTAGCAAGAAGTGGAACTGAAAACATCTGAGAGACAAGCGACTTATCATCATCGAGATACTACACAAGAACAAGTCTAACCTGATCAAGTTTTCCTTCCTGTCCAGCGTCTGCAGCACTTGCGTGCAGACAGAGATGACGTCATCGACCTCGTTGCTGGGGTCTCCTTGTCGGTGAGAGGTGAAGATGAGACGTTTAGGCATGTGGAGTCCAATCAAACACAAGCAGAGCTGAGCATAGTGCGCCACGTTCTGATCCTCCGCATCGCCGACGGAGAGACACTTGTGGAAATGTCTTCTGGCTCGGTCCAACAGCGGAAAGTTGAGGTCTTGCATACCTCCATTCCAGGGTCGCTCGGTGAAAGGATCTCGGATGAACTTCTTCGCATTTTTCGTGGCGCATGCCATGTACTTCTTCCTGAACAAATTGAAGGCGAAGGAGCCCATGGGAAAATTTCTCTCGTTCTCGAGAGCAGCGAGCAGGCAGGCTTCCCCGTACATCACATGCGCTCTCCTCCACTCAAATGCGTTTTTCTCTCTTGACAGAAAGCGAAGCGCTTGCCTGACATGATGGCAGATGCTTGACATGCAAGCTTGATCGCCCAGCTTCCATGAGAGGAGGTGAGCTTCGGCGAGACGGAGGTGGCAGCGGGACCAGCACACGTTCCCTCCCTCCCACTGGTCGATCGAGCGGGTGACGAGGAGACCCGAGTAGTGATCTGATTCCTCGTCACAAACAACATGACGGCACATGAGCTCAAGTATCACCGATCAGATCGTCCAGCGTCAGTTCCGACGAGGATTCGCGGAGGAGGATGCGGAGAGTCTGAATGTGAAGTTGCCTCCGCTTGTCCCTGGTCTCCCTATTCGATGGAAGCATTTCCAACGCCTTGGCTCGGTACATCAGAACCATCGAAACCTCAATGCTAGCACGGACATTACCTCTTGCAAACATCTCAAGGCCTTTCTTTTCTCTATCAGGTATGCGTCTGAGACTTGATCCTATAATCGAAACGCGTCAGCTGACATGAACTTTATCCATCAAATTCACCTTCCGATACACAAACATTCTGTCCTCATGGAACTCGGACAATCTCTGCAAGATCACAACTTGCATGCTGTCCACGTCCAGGTTCCAGATACCTTCACTCCAGACCTTGCTGTTGACAAGAAGAATCAAAGTAGAATCGATTCAATTGACACGTCATCAGTCAGTCATCTGTCGAAAATAGGAATGCATCGCATCATCTCTAGAATATCAGCAAGTGGTCATCCGCATGCAAAATATGTACACTACGATGTTTGCGTAGTTTCAACAACAAGGACCTGAATGCTTTCATTCTCGTTGACATTTTGTCGACGGCAAATCGCAAGTGATCCGTGGCAAGTTGATGATGAGACATCATGTCTTCCACTTCCATGTCATGGCGAGTCTGGTCCATGCGAGAAGGGAGTTTGACACTCATTAGATGGCATACAGGATTGTCTTTGTGAATGCAGTTGGATCGGCCCAAGATCTTGCAAAGACAATTGAAGTCCTCACATTCCACTTCTGATACTTCTTGAAAGGTTCGAGATAACAACTTGTGAAGCAATCTTTGAAACAAAAGATCATGGTATAACGCAAGAACTTGGTGCGACTTTAAAGCCTCCTTGAGTACAATCGGTCTGTCCAATTCTACATCTTCGAAGCACGAACAGCACTTCTCCATATATGCCCTTGCTTCGTGCAACAAAGCGTCTCTTGTCTCACAATCTTCCATCACCAATCTTCTCATCGCTTCCGAACTTGCATTGATATTCTTGATGACGCTCCTCCATTGTAAGAATTTGAACAATCCTATCCTTCTCTCGAAGAAGCATCGTTCAAGAGAGGTTGGGTCTAACAAATCTGTTGCATTCTCATACACTGAGATGGCTTTCTGCAAGTTGGTAAACCCATCACCCTCTTTGCTTTTCCTCAACAAGTATCCCAATCGCAACGATATCCTGAGGGATCTCTGCAAAGAGCGGGTCGGCGGAGAAGAGTCAAGTACCTTCTCATATAAATGAATCGCCATGTTCGAGTGGTTTCTTCGCACGCAAGTATCATTCTCCCATCTCGACAACACGTCGTACGCTGTAGCCATCTTGAACCACAGACTGACCACTGTATCATGATTGCTGCTTTCTACCACCTCGTCCAGGACAAGCAGGCCGTGATGTAACACTTGCCTCGCTATCTCCTCCTCGTCGGCCAACAAGGAGGAAAATGCATCGACCAACCCGAGGTTCAAAGTCATCCAAGTCGACAGCTGCTCCTCTCTTGAAAAGAAGGCAAGAGCGTTCTGGAGGTGAGAAATCGCCGTCTGAAGGTTCGTTCTCCGAGCTCCCTTCTTGCGCTGTGAGTAGGACATTCCCTGCCGTACGTTGTCAACATCACAAAGTCTTCGCGGTTGTCACTCAAGATAATCAGGTCGATCATCATTGCATCACATGTCAACTCAGCAATACAAAACCTGCATTCGAACACGGAATGCTTGAGCACAACAATCATCCATCATTGCCGTCACCATAGGAATGCAACACACAACTCGTCGCTTCTCACCAGACTTGCTTGGATCCTTCCCCACTGCTCCTCATGCTTGCTCACGTTGTACACCTTGATCGCATTCCTCCAGCATCGGATCGCGTGCTCCACGTTCTCAGATCTCACTCCTCCATCTCTGCTCAAGTAAACCTTGGCGAGGATGTCGTGTACCCTGGCCCATGCAAGAGGATGTGAGTTCTTCCTGTACACCTCCAGCGCCTGGTTGCAGCTGTCGATCGCCATCTCAAGGTTCTTGGACTTCTCTCCATTCACTCTGTTCGTGTAGGCCTCCCCAAGATGCACATGCGTCGCTGCCCAAAGCTGCGGGAAATCTTTGCGGCTGAAGACTCGCAGCGCCTGCCAATGATGGGAGATGGCAAGTTCCAGCAAGTCCCCTCGATTTCCTCCCTGCTGGCTCGCCAGGACCCACCCCAGGGTACACTGAGCCCGGGCCCACATCTCAGGGAAAGTTTCTATAGTGAAGAAGGACAGGGCACTCTCGCAGTGTCCCCGGGCACTGGCGAGGTTGAGCGTGCGGTTCCCCTCGATTCTTGAGACGAAGCATTCCGCCATCTGATAGTTGAGCTTCGCCCATTCCTTGGGGTGTACCGTTTTGTTGATGACAGACAGAGCGTCGCTGAAGTGGGAGAGGGCCGCTTCCAAGTCGCTGCTACGTGACGACGAGATTCTCTCGCACATGGCGGTTCCCAGCCCAATCTTGGCGTCCAAGTAATCTTGTGATGTGTTCCTATGCTGGAAGAAAGAGAGTGATTGATTGAAATGGTCAATCGCCTCTTCTATCATCTCCTGCGATTTAGATTCAACCTGAGTCTGATAGCTTGTGACCTTTGTTGTGCCCAACTTGAGCTGAATGACAGCCCAACTCTCCGTCCTGTTGTGTTCTGCATACACCTCGAGGGCAGTCGAATAAGCTTTCAGAGATTGTTGCAAGAGCTGCGATGTAGATGCTTCAGACTCGACTTTGGAGTATTCGATGATCTTCAGACACACGTTAGCAATGTAGGTATTAATCTCCGCATAACGGATAGGATGAGCTGATTTATGATAAACACTGAGGGACTCATTGTAGTTCTGTAATGCGTTGAACCCTGGGAACAATCTTGCAGCAGAAATCGTTTGCATCCATGCATCAGCTATGGCTATGTGTACCTCCGCCCAGTCCTGCATTGCCCCCAACATCTGGTAAATCTCCAGGGTCGCCTTGAGGTGATTGATAGCATTCTCAATATTCAGAAACTTTTCTCCACTTTGTTTCATGAGCAGCCGCATGCCGAGAAGTCGCTGCGCTTTCACCCAGTCGTGGGGATAGCTTTCAGCTGTAAACCCTGGGACCTGCACAGCAGTCAGTATCATGGGCACACAAACAACATGGGAACAGATAAGAGTTCAAGCGACTTCTGCCTGCCTGTTTAGCAGACTTGCAGCAAGACAGACACATAGACAGAGAGACTGTAGCTTTCCTGCAAGGCTGCTTCGAAACAAGAGATAGCTCTGTCTTGGCTCCATGATATATCTCCTACTTTCTTCAGACCGTATGCCTCCCCGAGCAGAACATAGGTTCGCGCGAGGGATTCATACAAACGCTCAACCCCAAAGATCTGTTATGATAAAGTCATATAAATCCACCAAAGTGAATTTAGCATACCTGAATCGAAAGCTCGAAGTGCTGAATGGAAAAATCTCCGAACATGAACTCTTGTTTGGGGTATTGCTTTCCCGACATGATGGACATCTCTTGCCGAAAGATGTGCGAGAGTTCCTCCCTGCCGATGACGTCTACGTGTTTCTCTAGCAAGAGCAAAGACTTTGCAAGCTTCTCATGAGCTTTTCCACATTGACTAGGGAATCTGCTCCTGGTGTAGATTGATAGTGAAGAGTTGAAATGGAAAATTGCTCTGATGTTGTTTCTCTGCTGATCGCCATGGGTCTGTTCTTGATATGCCATGCCGAGTGAATGGTGTACAGCTCCCCATGCTTCGGAGTGATCTGGCGTGATGACTTTGATCAGCATTTCCCAACCTTGAATTGCCAAGTCGATGTAAAGGTTCTCTCTGCCTGTCACGAAGATAGCATAGAGCTGCGTGCATGCATTGTGAAGTGATTTTAGCTTGCTGGACATATGTCGAGGGTCGTGATCTATGAAGATCTCGTCCTTCAGGAACAATGCCCACAAGCCATTGACACTCGTGAAGTTGTGAAGGGGAGCTGAAGCGTCCCACACAGCATCTGCATCAAGTTCTCCAAATATGAACTTCCGGAAGATTGCATAGCAGGCTTCCTTCTCCTGCTGGCTGGAGTTTTCTTCTTTCATGTGCTCCCTAAACGATGCTACGCCTTTATCGACAGCAGCCCCTCCTCGCTTCTCTTCAACTTCCTTGCCCTTCTTCGGCCTCCCGCCCCTCAAGGAAACCAAAGGATTCCTTCGTGCATGCTCTGACTCTACTCCAAGTTCCCTTCCTCTCCTGTATTCTTTTGAGTGACATCTTTCTACCGTGGTGATTCCTCCGCAACCTGCTCTCCTGCACCGACCCACGTCCGGATCCCCCGATTCTTTCTTCCTGACTTTCCTGAACAACTGCAGTGTGGCTTCGGTCGTCAGTTCTGAGGATAGAACCGTCAGCATTTCCCGTGCGACATCTCGCTTGTCATAACTCTGCATAGCAGCATCTTCTACTGGCGCCATCGTTGCCGCAATCCCAACTATCATCCATAGCGACCGCTGGCGCGCGTCCATGGTGGGCCCTCATACAGTCCAAATGGAAGCCTCATCCTCATACCTTGAAAGGTTGAAATTGTAGGATCAAATTTCAACATTCCCCGCATATTTGAAACTTTTATGCGACACATGTTGGAAGTGGAAGATTGAAAGTATATCTGAAAATTTCAAAACATACAGAGATGTTTCTATCTGTTTCTGTGGGTGGTACCAGCCCGATGCGTAAAGGGGAATGAAAGCAAGTGAACGTAGAACGGAGAGAAGAGTTGATGAATACTCGGAGCAACAAGATGGAATAGAAGACAGAGTGAAATGAAGATCTCATATGTTTGCTGTCCTCCTGATTTTATGTTGTTCATGCTCGATCTAACATGGCTGCGCACAGGAATTTTTACCATAGTGAATGCAAGGCATTTCTTGCGCCCATACAGTGGCTTCGAAACGATTTTTAACTCTACAGAAGAAATGCATTAACCACATCAGAGTACTCTCTCGTCACGATGCCCGCCTCTGCCATGCTGGCGAAAGCGTAGATGTAATCAGAGTTCAGGCGAAATCCAGGTTACGAAACTGATTTTGCCCTGCTCAGGCCTATGGCAAGCTTTGTGCAGAAGAGATCGCAAAAAGTTTTAACGATCGGCTTCAATGCAAAGTCTTAGAAACGAAGGTGAAAACAATCATGAGCAGTCCTTTCAGTCATGATGAGGCGACTTTGTTTCTAGGCCCTCGGGATCAGCCCAAAGTTGCTTGGTATCATGGCAACAAAGAATCAAGCAGCGATGGACTATGCGCATGTGACGAAGTCTTTTTGTCATGTGTTGGACTGCTGTTGAACTGTGTTTCTTCAGTGGACAGCAAGATCATGCTCCCAGAATGGGATAGATTTTCATGTGGTGGAAACTACCAAGTCTTCGGTCTTCGATGAAATACGTAAGGCGAATGGTGAGTGATGTTTGCCCTCTCCCAGCCCCTTTTTCTTATTAGAAGCGTAGAGAATCCAAATGTCCATGGGATAATCTTCTACTATCCCTGCTTTGGACCAACACCAGGACCGGAGTATGCACTTTTCTGCACAGTGTCGATACAATGACGTGCTGTGTCTCACCAGCGGGTCTTCGGATGAAGTAATAAGGGAAATGATATCAGTCAGAAAGGATGTAGAGGCGCTTTCTCAACCGTTGTCTACAACCTTCACATGATTACCTCCTGACGAAGTACTGTTGCACAGATACAGGGAAAGGTTGAAAATGAACATCAGACTCTTGGATAGCCCTGTACTTGCTGCATATCTTTTTCTGATGCCCATTGAAATGTTTCGCAGTGTATGAGAAGATGGAGACGAAAGAGCTTGCTTCCTTGTACACCGCTGGCGGTTGTAAAGATTTTAGGTTTAACCCTTCCTGCTTTTCCTGAAACATTGATTCCTACCGACAGAATACCTCAAGATTCATAATAGATGCCTACCTATCGGGTCTCGGATCAATGTAAGGATTAGTTTGTCTCAATTCCAATCTTCTGATAGCTTGCAAATCAGAACAAAACAATATCAGTCTTTAATCGGAGCGAAGTGGTCGGGCGGCCTCTAGCCTGCATGCTGGCCAACGATGGAGCAACTGTGTTCAGCGTAGACGACAAGGAGACCATGTTGGTCCAACCATGCTGTGAAGTGCCAACGGATCTAGAGTGCGAAGACGTGATCAAGTTGTCGGATGTTCTGGTGACAGGAGTTCCATGCAGCAAGTTTAAACTACCTTGTGACCTCATTAGACCTGGGGCCACAATTATCAACCTTTCGTCCTTCAGCAATGTGGACGAAGAGAGGTTGTTGCAAGTGCCCAATGTGAGATACGTTCCCAAAGTGGGAAAAGTCACAGTGTGCATGCTCCAGAGAAACCTCCTGAAGCTTATCTATAACTTTCATCTCAACAAAGATCTCCCAGACAACCAGGACTTGGAAGATGTTTTAGATCTAGAGCACAAAATAGAAATTCAATCGAAAAGTGTAATCCATTAAAACAACAATTAGAAAGACATACTGTTGTAATATCAATACGATCACAGATAATGATACAATATGAAAACAAAGATGGAGATTTCAATAGATATGATTCAGGGCATCCAGGCCTTTCAAAGATCTTTTCCGGTCTTCATGAACACCTTCACAAGCTCTTTTGCCGCCCATCTGCTTCAAAATTGAGCCAAAGAATAAATGAGAATACACTCTGTTGCAAACCTAGGCGTTTTCTCGCTCTGGCGCAGTTCAACCTCAAGCTGCAACTCAGGGTCAGATTGGGGGATCAAAGACACAAAACTACCAATCACCTCTTCTGCTCGTTTTGTTACCAACTCACAGTCTTCGAGCATTTTCACGATCTGTCAACTGAGATCAGGGCATGCATTCAACGCAATCACAAGGTGCGGGAGTCAAACATATAGCTGAGTCACTCACATCTTCCTTGGACTTTCTCCACATCCAAGATGCTCGTTGCTTTCCTCTACGAAGTCTCAGATCGCCTGATTCATCGCCCAACTTCCAGTAGGTCTCAATGCTCGACATGATGTCATTCACTCCTTCCTTGGTTTGGGCAGAGCATGTCAGCACGTCACTTTTCCACCACTTGTGTCCGGCTCCCCCCCTCAGAAACTGCAGAGCAGAACGACATTCGCTCTGAGCCTTCTTGGCCAGGAGCTTGAGGTCGCCATCAGCCTTGTTAATGACTATCAGATCTGCCGCTTCCATGATTCCTCTCTTGATGCCCTGCAGCTCGTCGCCGCCGACGGGCGGGAGCAGCAAGATGAACATGTCTGCAACCTCTGAGACGAGGACCTCGCTCTGCCCTACTCCGACGGTTTCAATCAGGATGACGTCAAACCCCGCAGTCTCGCATAGAAGCACGACTTCGTCCGTATGCTGCGACAGCCCTCCCAAACTTCCTCCGGTGGCACAAGGACGGATGTATGCGTTGGGATGCGCCGCCAAATCGTTCATCCTCGTCTTGTCGCCAAGAATCGATCCTCGAGATATCTGAGATGACGGATCCACCGCAATCACTGCGACTCTGCACAACAACGTCATTCTCTGCTTTCATCTTACAGTCAGAAAGTTGCTTGCCTATGTCCTTTCTGCACAAGCTCGATACCCAATGCCTCGATAAACGTGGACTTGCCGACTCCCGGCGGACCTGAGATCCCAAGGCGGATCGAAGATCGAGCTGTGATGGAAACATCAGATCAAAATATCCTTTAGGCTACCATAGCTCTACCTGGGTTCCTATAGTTCCTCTGTTTCATCACCTTGAGCGCGACGTCAAGAATCTTCATCCGCATGTCAGGGATCGCCCAAAATGCAATATCAGGATATCCAACCTCTGAGCCCTTCTGTCGGTGTTCCTCTTTATTGGACTCTATCATCGTGATAACCCTGCTGAGAACAAATCTGCCATAGCAGTGTGAACATTGCTGATAGATGGGGTGTATGAGTACCTGTTGTGATCAATGATGTCTTGGGCCATCTTCGATGTCAAGTCTGGCTCTGCGTCTGTGCTCATTGCACAGCTCTGAGATGATGGAGAGAAACGAACACCATGGAGTGCGTTCCTCGAGAAACACCAGGGCAATCCAGGCAAGGGGGAGGAATTCGTAGCTGGGGACAAAGTGAAGAAGCGACTGAGACAAGAACGGGAGGATTGATGCGAAACCAGACGTGATGTGCAGACGGAAAGATGAGGGAGATGGGGGGAGGGAGTCAGGAGCAGTTTGATCATTCTTTGCGAGCGACCCTTCGCCATAGCCCTCGTTGCTGCCGCCATCGCTGCGTTACGGCTCTACAAAGTCACAGCTTGAATCGATTCGAACACGTAAATGACACGTAAGAACGGTTTTAATTGGTTCAATTCGGTTTAAAGTGTTAGTGCTAGCTGGAAGTCGTGGTCCTGCCTCTATTTTTTTTTCAAAAATATTCCTACCCCGCCTAGCAGATGCCCCACCCACCCATTGCATGGCCAACAGTTCAACCCACCACCCTACCTAGTCGACTTGATTTATTAAGAGTACCCATAAAATTCCCCTAAAAATAACCCCTAAAAAATTAATACTACCCCATGTTTGCAACAAGACCTGAAAGTCCCACCCCACCTACAGAGCTTTTGAATTTTAACGTCGAAAATGCGCGGGCATTTCGCTCATGATCGATATGAGGAAAGAGAGGAAGAGGAAGGAGAGGAGAATGTCAGCATGGCAGACACAAAGGGACCGAAGCGAGATGCTAGCAGAACGAGGATGACGACAAGGACGAGGAGAGATTCATGATGGGTTTAGGAGCAATGAAGCAGGAAGCGAGTACGAAATGATGTTCAAGAGCAGACAAGAAGTGCGTGAGACAAGAAGTGCGCAAAGGCAACCATAAAGTTGTATTGTAGGAAGAAGAGGGAGAAAAAGTCAAACAGAACACCAATCAACAGAAATATTTTTTTTTAGGTCGGACTGGATGACAAGGCACATTGCTTCATAGTCGGGTTCTGATGATCCCTTGTAGTATCACGAGGACACAAGCATAGAGCAGGGAACTAGCACGGGATAGAAGGGATACTATTGGAAGATTCAAGTATTCCTATGGTGGCAGAGGTCAAGCTAACAAGCCCTTTCCTGTAGATGGACTCTCCGAACGTATCGGTCACCGACGACTCGTTGGATCATTCCAAGATGGATAGAAGGCAGAAGCTTTTGCTCTGGCAACAACAGAAAGCTGCGTCCAAGAAGGAAAACAAGGGAACGTCAGTGAACGCAGCCAAGATCTCCTCTCCTGCAGGTATGCTGGAAAAATAGCGTGATCTCCTTTGACTGTCCTCGCTTTCCAGATATCAAGCAAGGAAAGAGAGAAGGGTTGACGGTCATCACTAACAAGCAAGCAAATCAAAGAAACAGTATCCTCTCTTCGGCCTCCAAAGCAAAAGGTTCTGTTCAATCTGTTACGCCGCGGATCCAAAAGAACAAACCAGCGGAGAAGACTGTTTTGAGCGTGGGAAAGGTACGCGCAGCCTGTATATTACGAGTGTTCTGAATGCAGCTGCTTAATAGACTTCTGCATCAAAGAGAGAGAAAACGGTTGCAAGCGCTCAGAAGACGCGAGCAGCCGCGGGAACCAGAAGGGCGGCGCAGAAGCAGAAGAGCTCGGATGAGAATACTTGTCTGGAGAATGTAATGGAGGCCAGTCAGTCGACTAACAGAGCTTCACTTGATGCATCAGCTGCTGCAGAAATGCCTGAGACTCAGGTGAAACAGAAAGACTTTTCTGAATCCACCATCTTCCCAAACCTGCCTCTGTTGTTTTCCTTGACCTGCTCCTCCTCCTCCTCCTCCTCCTCCATGGTGAAAATCATGGCGTCTAAATGTCCTCTTGCACAGGTCGATGAACAATCGGCCATGGAGGAAACTACTGTCGAGTCTGAGATCGCTGATCTCAATATGTACCTCGTCCCTGCCGACGATGAAGAAGAGGCGATGGCGTCGGAAAGCGAGAAGGCAGAGGACCCGAACGAAGATTTAGAGGCTGAGGTTCAGCAAGTCACCAAGGAGCTGAGCGCCTCCACTCCCAAGACTAGACGAGTTCTTCAGAGCGAAGACGTCTTCACACCCGAGAGCGATCACGGTGAGGAGACGATTGTTGATCTTCGGGGGCTGAAGAGGGCAAATAGGAACGGAAGAGAGCAACAACCAGACTAATGTTGCTCCGGTGAACGCTGGTGAGAAACTAGTTGTTCCTCACTATTCCTTTGCTGACGAAATGAATTTGAAGACGAAGTGCGAAGCAATCTGCAAGGAACGCAGATCAGCCCTCTTGCGAACAAGTAGTCTTGCCCTTGCTTCCTCCTGCCCGCTAACACATGTTACCCAACAGCTCCACTCCAGACAATGATGGGCGTGCATCTTCCGATCGAGAATCCAGCAGCAAGAGAAGGTCTCAGCATCATATGATGCCGTCACTATCGGATTGGAGGCCTTATACGCTCTTTTACAGGCGCTCAGGAATGATGGCTTTCACCCTTTCCGCCTCCGGCTTGACTCCGCTTTCAAGAAACTCTGCCCGAGATAGGTGAATCAACCTTCATCCAGTCTACTTCTTATTCAGTTCCAGGATGGCGGAGGCGATGCAGGACGATCACAATGACCTTGACCAAGATAAATCCAACTACCTCCGAGTATGGAAATTCGGAGATTCAGAGATTCATCACCTGCATAGCCCTTCCAAAGACAGCTCGCAGGGAACTGCCCCGTCTTCGGACGATTCTGACGCAGCCGGTGCTCTCTCGCTAACTGTAACTGTCCTCCTTACCTTGTAACCAGCACACAACATTGCGAACTCATGCTTGACTCCACGAGGGATGCGGAAAACTGGTTGAAAATGAGCCTTGGTAGGGATCTTTTGACTTGTACCTCAGGCATCTCAGGGACGCCTCTCCGCATCGCATCTCCAGCCGCTCTCTCGGAACCAGCAGCTCGTGTTACCCCATCACCACGGGCATGTATCAGTGTGCCTTTGTAGTGCGGTGACGCCTGTGCTCGCAGGGATCGGCCGCTAAGAGCATCTCCTTTGACAATGCCAGCGACCGATTGGGAACTAACGACGAAGTCGTGCTTCCTCGAACGCCCGGCAGCGCCATGAGACCCGCTCTCTCCCCCATCCCGCAGGTAATCCGGCGATGTCTGCTGCTGTGTGGTGACGCATGGCAGGAGGAGGAGGAAGACGATGAGGCAGAGGGAAGGAAACAATCCATGGAAGGTGCAAAGACCTTCAAGACTTCGGGATCGGGTTGACCTTAACATTAGGAGCTCAAGAGAATCGCACCGTTGCTGCTGTCACTCCCGGGGGGCACAGGAGGAGGACGGGGATCTCGGGCACTCCGGTATGTTGCCAGCTGGTTGGGAGACGGGGGCTGACAGCAGCGTTGAAGATGAGGCTCTCCCACCTCGTCCAGGACACGATCTCGAGCTCTTGCAAGAAGAAGCGGGCGAGACAGAGCCAAGACGTCGCACACTCCTCTGATCTCAACACGGAGACATCTGGCTCCATCATCGAGCGGGTCTGGCGCTGACCCTCCTCTTCTTGCCCTCCCTCATCCTCACCTTAGGCGAAAGTCCGTGCAACGGCAGCGCAAAAGGAAGAGCTGGGAACAGACTATGTCTTGACTCCCGTCCGAAGGTGCCTGCTACCCGATGCTCTCACGGCGACTCGGCTGAGCAACTTGTAGATCTGGGAGGAAGAAGAGCGGATGGAGCATCGAGGATGCCACTTGCATCCGTGAAGAGCTCATGACAACCGGGTGACTGTCTCCTCGCCTCTTCTTGTTCGACCTCGTGATGAGAATGATCAGGTATGCCTATCAGCCCAACAAAGCGCTTTCGATGCTGGACGCTTTTGACAACGCTAAGGTCCTGCTTCTTTCCTCCTACTCTCCCTCCAAACCCTCCCTCGCCATTCCCATTCCTCAACAACCTCTTCCTTGGCCTCCTTTCGGAATTTCCTACCACCGTTCCTCCTCTTGTCCTCGTCTTCTCTTCACCTCTTCTCCAATAATCTCCCTCTACTTGCTCGTGCTCGGTTAAACGCCTGACAGGATTCTCCCACCGCTGAGCCACAAGAGGCAGTAGCCAGCCCCCTGCCCGAGCAGACGCCAAAGAGATCGGCGAGGAAGAAGAAGGAAGAGGCCCCGCTATCCAGCCCCAGCGACCCCCCGAGGTCCACTCGACGAACTTCGAGGGCGTCAACGACCCCCGGGAAAGAGGTGGGGGATCCTTCGTCCATCGCGAAGAAGCGACAGCAGCTCAAGGCAAAGCTCGCAGCAGGTTTGACTCCTGCTTCTCTCTCGTTGAAGACTGATGCTGGGTTGCAGCATCTCCCCTTCACAGTCCGAGAAAGTGATGAGACAGCAACGACAAGTCTCGGCAAGTGTTACTAACCATAAACAATATAACGCGGGATTGAAAGTGAACAAGGAAGAGAGAAGGCAAAGTGGCAGATGGAGCTGAGAAGGCTCAGACGGGGATGGGGATGTTGTTTGCAAACTCTTGGAAATGAATCTCAACAAAGATCGACTTGTCATCTTCCTGAAAGAGATCATTGAAGTCAGTGAGGCGAAAGGATATGCATGATAACACGGAGTGCCACCTCCTCCGTCCTGTTGCTCAGCATGTCCATGATGTCGCCTGCATCGAGGTCAGGAGCCAGCAGCCACCGCTCTGCCTCGACTTCGCGTGCAGATGGCGAGAGGATCAAGCTCTTCGATGTGCGAGCATCTCCAGACGACCCATGCGGAGCTGCCGATGCCACGTCAGCTCAGCAGGAGGAAGGGAAGAGTACGTGGTGAATGTGTAGGGAGAGCTCTGCGAGATGTTGAGATTCATTTGAGTCCTGCCAAAGTCTTAGAGGAAGGCGAGCAGAGGAGAGAAGGAACACGATGAGAGCAAGGGGGCGGAATGAGGGACAATGAGGGAGGGTGAGATAGATGGAGCAGACCCGAGGTCCCAGAAGGTCTCGTTGAGCGAGTTAAATCGACGGCTAAGGCCAGTCGAGCACTGGGTGAGAGTCCAGTTGGTGTCCTGGTCAAGGACAGTTGAGCTACAGGAGGGATTTGGGGAGGACGAGGACGAGGACGAGGACGAGGACGAGGACGAGGACCTGACTGAGACGGCGAATATTGACAGCCCACTCGTTATGTGCAAGGGTGGAACCTGTGCAGGACGCTCTCAGCGCAAGGAGGAGAGGAGGACAGAACATGGAGGAAAGAGAGGAGGTGGGGGAGCAAAGATGATAGATGCCTGTTCCAGACTCGCCGATGCCTCGAGTCAGGGCCCTCCCTAAGCCCATGCCGTGCCCTAGCAGTCTTCCTGTCAGAGGTCTTCTTCCCTCCCTCTTCCCCAACCCTCTCCCCCCTCCTCTCCTCTCTCCCTGTTCCCCTCCGTTCCTCTGACCTCTGATCTCTCGCTCGTCTGTTCCCGGGGGAAAGACAGTGACCCCCCATAAGTCTCCTCCGCACGTTCGGATCTCCGGGCCCTGAAGAGGAGGAGGGTCAAGAGATGCGGAGCAAGGAAGCATATCACCTTGTAGCAGATCCTCTCCGTATTGAACCCCATCCCGTTGTCTGAAGGAGAGCAGGCGATAACCCACCTAGCACGCACTGTTGAATCCTCTCCTTGGTAGTCCCTCTCCTCTCTCTCTTACTCATCCTCTTCTTCCTCTCCCCTCTCCTTCCTCCCCTCTCTCTCCTCTCTGCGTTCTCTTCTACATGCCACCTTTCGGTTCCTCTTACCGTTCGCAACTGGCAGGATGAGATGGGTCATTGCAAGCGTAGCAACCTTTTCCCAGCCACATGGGCAGCCGATTGTGCAACCTTACATTCTCCTGACATTCAGATCATCATGAGAAACAAAAAGCAAGGAGGAATGACCTTGCAATACGTCAAACTGCCGTGATGATATTGATATCTTTCGAGGAGCAGGCGAGACGGAATGACTCCGCTCTTCTCTACAACCTTGACCACAAGTAAATCTCATCACAGACAGACAGGCAAGGAACGAGTAAGACCATTCAAGATTACAATACCTGATGGAAGAAATTCAAAGACATGGTCGGAAACCTTATCAGCTCAATTATCCCGGTGTCTTTCAGTAACTTCTTGACTCGTTTTTCATGTTCTCCGTCTTCTTCCTCCCCGAACGAAGTTTGCCAGGTTGCCCACCTCAACACAGCACGGAATATATCATCTTCATGCGCGAAAATCCGATCCTGATTTCAACTGAAGTGTTACAAAACATTGCACCTCCAAGACAGATGAAGAGAGTGTTTCAGGAGGTTCTTGTCACCTCCTTTGCAAGGGTCCGAACAATGTCAGCTTCCAACGATACGATTCCCTCGTTCTCCAGCACCTGTTGAGGTGACATGATGCGTCAGAGCTGCAGTTTGAATCGTTGTGATGCGAAGAGGAGAGGGAAGTAGGAAGAACCTCCTTCGCGTTCAAACGAACGTATTCCATGCAGACGAGCTCATGCCAGTCAAAGCGTGTGTTGAGTTCCTTTGTCACGTCGCAATTCTTGAAGCTGCCAATTTCAAGATCTTATTCCCGCAAATGGTAGTACTAATCAACCAGGACATGATTATTAGAATTACCATCACCATCACCATCACCATCACTATCACCATCACCATCACCACCAACAACATATCACGATAATTCAGTCAATATCGCTATCATGATGGTTTCCCCATTGCTAACCTGAAACTGGCAGAAACAAATGCAAAAGCATTGAAAGGAGAAATGTTGTCTGCGAGGTACTCCTGCAGCTTGTGATCAGGGACCAAAGAACATCATCGTCGTCTTCACCTCCATGTACTTCTTGGCATCATCATATCCGATATGCTTGGCAAGAGTTGCAAACGAATCAAACGAAAAGATGGCATCCCTCAAAATTCCAGAAAGGACTTTGTCGTTGTTTGTCAAAGATGATTTCGACAAAGAATGCCGCAAGAAATCAGAAACTGCCTGTTGCTTTTGCAACCATCGGATAACAAACGAAACGGGAGAGACGAAGATAGGAGGGTCTCTCACAGAGACTAGGAACATGACTGTGTCAAGGTCAAGGTCAAGGAAGGTATCTGTTTCAGCAATCTCATCTTCGTGCCCTGAAATGAAGGCAGAGCAGATTGGAATCCAAGACGAGTGCATGGAGGGGCAGCCTTCAGCGATCCCCGATGCGAGTTTGAGTGCATTGTTTGCATTCAGCAGCTTCTTCAGGCGTTCACTCGTCTCTTCTACCAACTCACAGATCTGAAGTCTGTCCAGGGTCGTTAACAACTTCAGCAGGTGGTCCTCTGTTATCTCGAAGTCTAGCCCGTAGAAGAAGCCAGTGATTGCCATGCCGACTTGAGGAGGAACATCTCTGATGACCAAGTGATTGTTCTCTGCTTCGCACATGCCAATGTTCATCGCCCTCTCGAAGAAAGGGGACTGGCTCAGAACAAGCTTGTGTGAGGGAATCTGGACTGAACCATCCTCGCAGGTGAATTCCAGGACGATGTCTGAATATTGCTTGTTGTTGAAGAATCTCTTCACGTCGAACCGAGAATTCCACGAGCTCCCACTTCTGTCTGATGAGTTCATTCCAGACAGAACGAACGAGTTGTCAGGCGTTTCTACAACTCCATTGGCGCTTGCGCTGCTACTTTCGTTGAAGGTTTCATCCATGGTTCCACAAGGGCTTCTGACCCTACATCCAAAGATTTCCCAGAACCTGAAGTTTTTGTCACCATGACCATAAACAATCAAAGGCAAGGTAGATGGTTGCAACAAACAGCGATCAGACGCATTACATATTCGAAGCGCTTCTCGTGAGATCAATCATATGATGTCAGTTCACCCTAATCTTCATATGATCCGATGTCAAACTTGCTACGTCATAACAGCACTCCGAATGCTTGCCCCTTCCCGTCCTCGTTCTCTATCGATCTTCTCACATCATCTAAACTCTTTCCCTCTCCCTCCTTTCCTTCTTCTCTAGATCTTCCCTACTCCCTGATCTCTTCCTCTATCCCCCCTCTTACTCTTCTCCCTCTTCACTTACTCTCTCTCTCTCTCCTCTCTTCATTTGCTCTCTCAGCATCCTGTTGCTTGGGTTTGTCGCCTGAACAAGCCCTGTATCTTCATGGCCTTCTTTGGGCGACTTTGTTGAACTTTTACTCACTGACAGCCCGGCGAGTGCCGCCGCGCCCGGCCCGGCGCCCGGCCGCCAGTCACCGGGCCGGGCCCGGGCAGCAGCCGTGCGGGCGGCAACTCTGAGTGCAGCCACGATTTTCCTGCGAGCTAGCCCAGGCTCCCATCACTGAATCCTGATTCTGCTCCAGCCTCCGCCCGGCGCATGTGCCACGGTGACGCTGCTCCGTCAAGTGGCACGGCTCGTCAGCGTGGGGTCTTGTCTTCCTCTCCCTCTCTCTTTCCCTCTCTTCTCCCTCTTTCTTTTCTCCTCATTCTCTCTCTCTTCTCTCTTCCTTTCTCACTATCTCTTAATCTTTTTCTTTCTCCTATCCTTTCAGTCTCTGTTATCTTCCTATCCTTGCTCTGCTTATAAATACTCCGGGCTTATCTCTGAAGTCAATTACCTATCTGCTCTAACTTCGCTACTGCATACAATCCATCACGTCGTGCGGGACCGTACGGGCCGGAGCCGCTCAGCGGCGGCCGGGCTCCGAGCCCGGGCCGCTCAGCGGCGGCCGGGCTCCGAGCCGCCGGCGAGTCCGAGCCGCCCGCCCCCGGCCGGGCTGCCACTTAACTTAGTAACTTTGAGTAAACGTAATTGGGGTAAGTAGGGGATGAGGGCTAAGAGATTTCTCCGAAAGGCCAGTGACCTTTCAATGAGGACCCCTACCCCATACCTATCATATCCATTATTGATGGGGTAGGGGTCCTCTATTCCAGCGACAGCGCCAACAGCCATGGCGTCGCAGGTGCGAACTGAGGAGGAGGATGTGAAGGGAGACAGAGAGAGGAAGGAGAGAAGATGAAAATTGTGATGATTTGAAGTGAACAAGAGGACCTTCAGTATGGGTGTGTGTAATGAAAGAAGGACAAACCGAGACGAGCGTGTGAGTGGGTTATCATTGAGGTTTATGGTTTAGTGCGCGGTGGAATGGAAGGTTGCACACAGGATGGAACACAGGAAAGAAATAGTCGGATGTTTGTGTTCAAACATGGAAAAAGGGATGTGAGGACAGGAGGACGGGTACAAAAACAGCAAGCTAAGACAAAGGAGAGGCGTGCTGAATTTCGATGTCGGCTATACTCTATGATAGATGTTTGCGAATTTTTGGAATCTGTCATGTTGTTTTGGTTTTTTTGGGCTGCTGTGTATCATTCAAATGCAGAATTTTGCATATTCTACAAATTTGGATGTCGAATCATTCCTTCAACTAGTGGAGGGCATGGTGTTCATGGAATTTGTGTTGGAACAAGCGTGTGCGGTGTGATGGTGTTTTGTAAACTGAACAGACGCCTCTTACAAGTGTTGGGAGGCTTTGAAAGATTGATGTGAGAGCATTTTCATTTTGTGTTATGCTTTCTGCGGGATGGGACTGATTCGCAAAATGAACATGTGAGATGACGAGCAAAGCCTAGGAAATAGATAGATCATGAGAATTTCAAGGTTATGAATGATAATTTCCTCATCCGTGACGATATTTCTGTTTGCAACATCAGATCACAACGATGCTCGTTGGGGAGGGCGCAAAGCTCGATGTGCACGGATGCAAGACTGTGGACATGGCTTCCTCCTTCGGAAAGGTGCGTGCGAGTGAGGTTGGGGTAGGGCATCCGAGTTACTCTGCGGCAGGCATTGCTTGAGTTCGTCTTCATCGTGTTTGCTTGCATCACCTTGCTTCTCGGCATCAACGCGGCCAAGAGCAAGGCAGCCAGCCGCGTTCTCTTCCCTGCCACCTTTGTCACTGGAATCGCCTCCATTGCCTATTTCTCCATGGCATCTGGCGGAGGATGGGTGATCGCCCCAGACTGCAGGCAGCTCTTCGTGGCCCGCTACCTTGACTGGCTCATCACAACTCCCCTCCTCCTCATCGACCTCGGCCTCGTCGCTGGCGTCAGCCGCTGGGACATCATGGCTCTCTGCCTCTCTGATGGTACTTGAGACTCTCAAGGTTAAGTGTTGCTGACGTGATCGTGACAGTCTTGATGATTGCTACTGGGGCATTCGGATCTTTGACTGTTGGCAACGTTAAGTGGGTTTGGTGGTTCTTTGGTATGTGCTGGTTCTTGCACATCATCTTTGCCCTCGGCAAGTCCTGGGCTGAGGCCGCGAAAGCCAAGGGAGGAGACTCTGCGTCCGTTTACAGCAAGATTGCTGGCATCACTGTGATCACTTGGTTCTGCTACCCTGTTGTCTGGGTGTTCGCTGAGGGCTTCGGAAACTTCTCTGTCACCTTTGAGGTGTGTTGATCTCACTCATGAGTTGTTGTGCTCATGTCGTGAACTTGCAGGTTCTCATCTATGGCGTTCTTGACGTCATCTCCAAGGCTGTGTTCGGCTTGATCCTCATGTCGGGTGCTGCTACTGGCTACGAATCCATCTAAGGATGTGTTGATAATCGATCTTCTCCTGTGGAATGCAAAAAATAATCTCCTTCAGCTCCAAATGTCCTGCTGGTATCTTCCTGTTGCTTGCAGATTCCGCAATCTCTCCCTCGCGGCTTCCTCGCTGCCCTCCTGCTTGTTCGTCAGGAGTTTGCTCAATATGTCACTGTTCACCATGGAAATAAGCACATCGACAAACGCTCTGCGCACTTCCGATGCCATTGATATACTGTTTGAGCGTGAGCGAACGTACCATATAAGGAGACGATTACCTTCCACACACGTAGATGCATCCTTGTTTCTTGGAAATGACATTAGGTCCATTGACCGACGTTGGGATAGATCTACCTGCATTATTTGAGCGACTTCTGTTCTTTGCTGGCGGATTCTGTCTTGGACGTAAATCTTCTTGGAGGTCTCACGGCTGAATGCAAAGTGCAATGAACTGAGACAACGTGAGAGGTAAGAGCAGACAAAGAGCCTGCGTACTTGATCACTCCAGCGTCCATCATCGATTCCATCTCTTCCCGATAGAGACAATCTTCATCTGAACAAGAATTAAGAACTAAGTCAACCATGCCGGTCAGAATCAACGCACCTTCTTTTCGACAACCGTAGAAGAAAGCAATGTCAACATTCACTCCCGAGATCTTCATGGCATGATGCGCTTCTAGGTACATTGCCCGCAAGGGAGCGATTCCTGTCCCCGCTCCAACCTGGGTCCAGTTACGATCCAACAAAACACTAACATCTCTCCCGCCATCACCACCTCCACCACCTCTTCTGCCTCCTCCTCGCCCTCCTCCTTCTACTCTTCTAGCTTCTCCAGCTCTACCTCCATCTCTAACTTCAAACTCGACAACTTCACTCACAAGAATGATCGGCGTGCTCAAATCCTTGGGCAGCTTGAAGGGGCTCCTTCTCAACTGAGCCTGCACCGAACATCCAACATGTACGCAAGAGAGGAACGAGGAGCATGTTCCTTCGAATCTCCGCTCCGCTCTGCTCTCCATGCTCTGACCAGGTCGGTCGATCTCCTCCTCCAACACCTTGAGCGTCAGGTGAACTTGCTTTGGAGAGGACGAGCTGCTGGAGGATATGGAGTAGTAGCGAGGTTGAACCCTCGGGAGGATCTGAAGTATCTGCAATGCGGGGGTGAAACAGCGTTAAAAAGGTAGCGAGAAGGCTGACATTTTCAAGAGTGAGATGAACGCTTTTGTGATCGGCCAGGACATCAACAATGTTCTTGTAACCCTGCAAACTTCTGAGTGAAGAAAGATCGGAAGAAGGGAAGACCTTGACGATGTGTTTCTGATAGGAGAAACTGTCCTCACTCAGCCAGTTTAGATTTCTTCTGTCATCATCGGACAGTGCAAGTTCCGCAAGGAAGGCAAGCCAATCTTGCTTCACGCAACAGTTCAAGTCCAGATAACTAGCAGATCATTTAGATAGACTGCACCCGAGTGGTCGTTTCGCCATTTCGACCAACCTTGTGAAAATCTTCCTGAGTGTGCACGGAACAGGAAAAGGAGATGCGGCAACATCATCTCTTACTATCACCCACTTGTCCAAATCTGTTCAACTGTGATCACATTCCATCGTACCACATCATTATCTCACCGATCGAAGTTCGCACAGCAAACCTCTCGACCAAACTCGACTTGTTCTCTGGATAGATCGCAAGGTGATCGCCAGTCTCATACGCATCTTCTTTATCTTTCATCAAAGATCACCATCTCTCCCATCATCACAAAGCAACCCACCCTCAAGATCCAATTCCACGTGAAGGAACCTGCGGTCACCAGACTTCTGCAGCTGATCATGCACTCAACGGAAAGTCGGAAGAGATCAAGGGTGAAGCAACAACACCTCTCGTTTCTCTCGAACTTTCATCAGCTTCTTCGTCACATGGTCGAGTTTCGCAGACGATGCCGGGAGCTTCTTGTTTGAACGCGTGGCTGCTTCCTCCGATTCAAACATCTGGATGTAGAAATTCTTTCTCGTTGCCATGGGCTGATCATCGTATCCCTTGCGATCTTTCACATGAAATAATGTGTCGAGAGCTCTTGACACTTCTTTCGCCCACCTGCCAGCCGATATCATCAGTCTGAAAAGAAACGTCATGTCAACCAACTTTGCGAAATCCTCGTCCCCCCCTCCTCCTGCCGCGTCGCAAAGGAGGAGCTGGGACAGCCTCTCAGCTCCTCTTGCCTATATCTTCTGTCAGCCACCACGAGCAAGCTCTGCTCTACAACCTCCATCAGCCTGTCAACATCCTTTGCGACTGTGTTGTAATGTTCATACTGAGAATTCCCCAGTCCCAGGACTGTCTCTCAATCAGAAAATGACCATCAAACATGAAGCAGAGGCTCGCACCTGAGTATCTCACACCGGGAAATCTTGCTTCCTCACTCTTGACCCACTCGTAAAACGTCTTTGCGTTGTCCGTCGGCTCACCTTCTCCATACGTCGCCAGCAAAAACAAGGCGATCTGGGGGCTGGCGCTCGTGCCTTCAGCGAAAGATGCCTTTGAAAAAAATTCCAAATCCACAACATCCACCAAGAAACCCCTCTTGCGCAGAAAGTTTGCTATCTCATGGGCATAGTTCTCAGCGGTTCCCGTCTGAGATCCAAAGCAGATTGAAATGACATTCGTGGAAATATCCAATCCATTTCTTGAGCTCTCTGTGCAAACCGTTGAGCATCACCAAGGAGAACTAGCCGACATATATCAACCTGTCTTTTGTGTTGATTCGGTTTCGCCTCCGTCATCGACAAGTTCGAGGGTAGTTTTCAGCAAGTACCTAAGGGGGAAGGTATCACGGCAACCCAATGTTACATTTTCATACCCCAGAGCGATGATAACAACTATGATCGCGAGCAAGTAAAACATCTTCACCAGGCGTCTTGCTTATATCCTCATTGTTGAGACAACTGAGCATTTCGTGTCATAACCTTTACAACCAGAAGGAGCAAACAACAAAGAATTTTTGTTGCACAAGTTTGCCTTGTCCGTAAAGAAAGCATGCTCTCTCTACATACTCCACATTCCTGATCTACTGCCTACACTAAATCTGTTCTTTCTTACATCACATGTTGCTCTCATCCTCTCCCTCCATCCCTCCCTCCTCCTCCTCCTCTCCCTCCGCCCTCAGCTTCCACTCCCTCGCCATGTCGCCCTGAGAGCTTCATCGAGTTCGAGCTATTTCATTTAATCGTTTACCTTCTTAGCTATTTAAATTAGACTGAATGCTCCGGCCCGGCCCTGGCTAGCACCGGCCCGACAGACTCGCCTCCGGCTGGTCACCTGAAGGCGGGGACAGTGGATGTTTCACTTAGACATAAATGTGCTGTCCTTTAAATTTATCTATATCATCTCTGAGGCGCTGCTGGGGACTTTTAGCTTCAACCCATACTTCATGAAAAAAAAATCAATAGAATGTAAATGACTTATTAGGCCATTTTATCAAATAGCAATAACCGGAACCTTCCTATGAAATAATAATTATATGGGTTATTAGACTTCACAAGCTATTTGTCCCTCTACGTCGCCTTCCGCGCTGCCTCTGGGGGGGGCTGGGGATCTTTTTGCAGTGAGGGTCCTGTGAGTCTTTTCAAGGTTTATAGTTCAAAATTACAATTGAGATATTTCAAAAATAGGCGAAGTTTTTGATTTTGTTTAAAAGAATCAGTTGGGCACTCGAAATTGACACGACCCAGTGTGAAAACGGGATACTTGCAATGGGCGATGGAGGAGTAGAGAAATCAGGCAGGGAAAACAGGATGACTAGCAGGAGAAGGAGGAGGAGGAAGCAAATAGTTTGCAGGGCTTACCGTCACCCCCTGTCTCGTATATTCCCCCCCTTTCTGCTCTCTCCTCCTCTATTCCCTTCTCATCTCCCGTGATTCCATAACCCTCGTTGCTCCCTCCTCGGGCCTTGCTTTCTTGTTCTTCATATGCAAATGCTTGCAGAATTTGTCGCTATCCTAGCTCCAGCCTAGCGTGTCTTTAAAGCACTTTTCTGGATTGCTGCCTGGTGCGTCCAAGAGCAGCTGGTAGAGATCAGGCCCCGGTGTAATGTGTACAGGATCGACGACACGTCACAAACAGACTAAATAGCATAGATGTCCAAACCACTAGAAGGAGACGATGACGACCTACATACATTGCTGTTGACCATTGAAAGGGATCACGCGCCGCTGATGGTCTCTCATGCACCCTGCTCGTGGTGTTGGTGGATTGCAAGAGTAGTCGATGTTTTCAGGCCCTGCCACGTTTCCAAGATGTTGCTCTCATCATAGCTCTCCTGCCATCGTCAAGCTGACAGAATTCTCGCAGGAAATGAGTTTTTGGCTGATTTCGGTGCCAGTGGGATCGATCCACAAGGCAGGTGAAGGGCCATCATGTCGCAAACCTGACGATTGTTACAGGTGGGATCCACCAAAGCTGAAATCTGGGATGGGCTGTGCAAGGCGTTGCCAGACGTCGACAAGCATAAGATGCAGGTCATAATCCACGCGGTTTGTTGAATGTATGACCGGCGCTCTCTCTCAGATCCCTGAGCTGCGCGTTGGAACTCTGGATTCTTTGATGTCACTTTCCGATGATCTTGAAAGAATCGACAGGCAGGAGCAAGATTTCGTTCTCTTGGCATGCTGATGTTTCTGTCACAGATTTGTAGAAGGTGTTGTTCACCGTCTTGAGAAAGAAGTTTCGGAGGGAGGCGGATCTGGTTCGGGGCCAACTGTCGATGGCAGTGAGTCGGCAAGTTGCAAGACTATCCGTTGGTTGACATGTGCTTCCAGCGGCACCGGAAACTCACCTGACGAGATTCTCCTGGGATCAAGTGACGATCATCTTCGAAGAAGTTTCATTCTTACATGGATGGTTGGGAACAGGCGAGATTTCCTATCAAGAGCACACTGTCAGAGGTGTGTGGGGAGGCGGGAAGTGAAGTGATCACGGCTGATGAAAGAATGCAGCTTGTCAACATGATTCAAGATCTTGTCCATCGTACAGACGAGGAGCTGAAGGTAAGAATAATCCTTGGTTCCATTGAGATTTGACGATTGCGAAGGTGAAACTGATGGATTACAACTCTATCAAGTCTTCACTCGGAGCGTGCGAGAGGAAAACTCAGGGAAGGTCTGAGCAGCGATGAGCCCTTGAGCGTTTTGAAGCTCACAATTCTCTCCCTTCAGTCTGAATGCGGCTTCTATCACTCCATACGTCAGAAAAGGTCTACCTGATGGAGATGATAACAACGATGATAATGATATGATGATGGAGATGATGATGATGATGATGCTCAAGATATGGATCTGAACAATGATCTTCAGATGATTTTGTGTCCTCGGAGAAGCTAAACACAGTCTTCTGTGCTGTTCCCAAGTTTGCCGTAAACGGTGAGTCCTGTTTCATGTCCAACTACCTGATCTGAAAGGCGTCTGTCAGATTTTCTCAATAACTATCAAACATGGGGTAAATTTCAGACGGAAAAGATGGTACCTTGACCTTTTCAGCTGCATCATGTCACCAACACTCGAATGTTTTTAGGGAGAAATCAACGGTGTTGTGCCTGGCTCTGCCAAGGAGTTGGCTTCAGATTCAGAGTACAGCCTGTACAGAGTAGTTGTGTTTAGAATGGCTGGTGATCTTTTTGTGTGAGATTCCAAACTTTGTGAACATGTGTTGGCAGAGGATGAGTTCAAGACTGAGGCTCGCAATGGGAGAGTGACGGTTTGCAAATTCCTCTGATGAGCTCTTGGGGAGGTTCCAATATTTGTACAGGTGAGAGATTTCACCTATCAGGATGGCCAGCAAAGAGCCGATGAAGAGGGTAAGTGGCCATGAACATCGTTGTGCTTGCTTGTAGTCTGAATTCCTCTCTAGAGCTGTCGAAGCTGAAGAAGGAGGAATCCCAGGTATGTTCCACTCTGCTCAACAACCTCTAGCTCGCTGTCTTCATGGACATCGTGACCCCTTCGAGAGCACGAACATCTGATGTCAACGTGCTTAGGCCAAGGGCAAACTTGAGAGGTGGTCAACCACGTCCTTCTCCGAGTGCTTTCGCGCGTGGATTCACCTCAAGGTGACGTCACTGATGCTTTCTCTCCTCCTCCACTCTCTGCTCATCGATTCCCCTTCTGCCGCATCTGCTTGCGTCTTGTCTTTTCCTCCCTCACACATCCGGTTTCTCACGGTGTTGTTGATGCCTGTCTCCTCGCTCCATCTTCGTTTTGGCTTCTCCTCCTCAACCGCCCCCTCCGATGCACTTGACTACCTCCTCCCTGACGATTCTTTAGGCCATTCGCGTGTTTGTGGAATCAGTCTTGCGATATGGATTGCCGCCGAATTTTCAGGCGATGTTGATTAAGCCAGGAAGAAACGAAGACAGAGTCCGCAAGACACTCAATAGCACGTACGCGGTGCTTGCAGCCCCAGGATTGGAGAAGGTGAGAAGAAGTGATGATACGAGAGGTGGAGAAGAGAAGGGAAGGGTGGAGGAGGAGGGTTGGTACAGGATGTCAGTACAATTGTTCAGCAGGATAAGGGCAGTGGATAGGAGGAGGACGGAGGAGAGGAGGAGAATTGGGGAGCGGAGGAGGAGGAGGAGGAGGAGGAGGAGGAGGAGGAGGAGGAGGAGGAGGAGGACAGTTCAGCTGATTCGTGGAGTAGGCACTTGAGGATGGTCCTGCGCAGTCAAGATTCTATCCTTACGTCGACATTGAGGTTTTGTATGTGACGCAGCTGTTTTCCAGCTGACTCGCTCGCAGATCAAGTACACAGCGATGACGGATTGAATATGCACAGATGTAGCCAGGCTCCTGCTGCATCCATTCCAGCATCCACACAAACGATTCTTTCGGACGATCGAGCTCATGCTGCTTCATGCAACATACTTCAGTTTGATTACAACGGTCTCAAAAGTTCCATCATTCTCTTCTCCCTCCTCCCGCTCCTTCCCATGCTTCAAGCTCTTTTCCCTCCTGTTCCTCCTCAATCACAAGCACGGCTCCTCATGAAAGCTCGAAGGGGTCTACCCAGCTCTTCCATCCCTCTATCCCCATCGCCATCTCCTCGTCCGACAGCAGGCAGTCGTCGAGCGCTTCCTTGAGCTTGTCCTGCAACAGCTTGAGCGACCCTTGACCTTGTTCGTCCTCCTCCTCCTCCTCCACCACCACCACCACCACCACCTCCTCCTCCTCCTCCTCCACCACCACCTCCTCCTCCTCCTCCTCCTCCTCACCCGGTTCAGGTCGGTACCGATGAAGACGATCTCCGTCCGCCTGTCACCATGCGGATTCTCCTTGAGCTTCTTCTGCATCGTGTTCCTCGTCTGCTCCTCCATCTCCGGCCAGTCGCTCTCTGCTGCTCGTATCAGTGTAGGCCCCATGTGTTTGACTCTCTTCTCCTCCTCTCCTCCTCCCTCCTTCACGTCTCCTCCCTCTTCACGTTCGCATTCTCCCTTCCTCTCCTCTCCCGTTTCACCTGCTGTCTCGCACAGCCATGGTCTTTCAGCCTTGAGCGTAAGGAAAGCGCCAGCCTGAAGCGAACGTCAGAGGAGCACAAGAGGCATGAAATGGAGTGGCCAGATGAGGAAGAGGATGAAGATTGAGGGAGGATAGCGCAGGAGCAGGCAAAGGAGGAGCAAGAGCAGATTGAGTGTGGGAAAGTCGAAAAACAGGATGGGAAGAAAAGGGACCATGAGACAGCGAGGAGGACCAGGGGGAAACTGATGGGAAGGACAAGGAGGAGGAGGAAGAGGAAAGAAGGAGGAAAGGAGGAAAGGAGGAAAGGAGGAAAGGAGGAAAGGAGGATGATGAGGAGCTGGTGGCGGAGAAAGATTCGCAGGGAAAGTCACACCTGGCTCCAAGTGATGCAGTAGGCTGAGGAGGTTGCGAGCCACATGACTCCCTTAGATCGCAGGATCTGACCCAAACACGCCTCCTGCATCTCTGCAACCATCTCCTTCCTCTGCCTCTCCCGCTCCTTCACATCGTCCTCTTCGTCGCTAGCTGCATCATCGTTGCTCTCCTGTGCGAGCATCGTCAGGGAGAGAAGTTCAAGGACGAGTCCTGCTTCACCTCTCTGACGTGTTCCGAGGGCACGCTCTTGTCTTCGTCTCCGTCATCGTAGTTGATGTGATAGCTTACTTCCTTTCCTTTCACCTCCTTCCCTGCTACACAACCCGGATGAAACGCTTCGCTACCCATCCATCGAGCCTCGACCCTGCTGCCAATAGCGAACGTCCCATCTTCATCTCTCTTGACACCCTCCTCCTCCTCCTCCTCCTCCTCCTCTTCTTCCTCCTCCTCCTCCTCCTCTGCGTCTTCTTTGTGTCCAATATCGCCATTTCCATTCCTGACCTCCGTTTCTTCCTCCTTGCGATCCGAGTGGCCATGTTCATGTTCATCATGGCTGTGATCATGGTCATGTTCATCATCTTCAGGGAGCATAGCAGAGGTGAAGAAAAAGCGATCTGTGAAGTTGTGGTAGAGACGCATAGGATGAAACGGTCTCTCCGATCTGTACACCATGCTCGTTATACCGTACTCGATCGTCTCCGCCATCTGAGTCAACGGTGTAGTGTACAAGAACGATTTGCCCCATCCTGGGTGTTGGGTTGCCTTCTCTAGAGAGAACAACCCAGTGTTCACAACCTGGTCGAGAGGAACTTTGCCGTGACTTGTCGAGATGATGTTTGCCTTTGGGTTGAGTTTGCAAATGACTTCTTTGATCCGCTCGACCTCCCTCGCAGACACAAGGTCTACCTTGTTCACAATGACGACATCTGCAAACTCTAACTGGTCAATCATCAGGTCTACAACTGTCCGATCGTCTTCAGCCGGGGCTTCCTGGTGTCTCTCGTGCACTCGCTCAACAGACTCAAACACAGATGAGAAATTCGCCGCATCGACGACAGTCACGCACGTGTCCAGCCGGGAAAGGGAAGACAGGGCAGTCACAGCCTTGCTCGCATTCTCACTTAGCTGTGACGTGATCGCCTTGGATAGACCGTCTCCTCCCTTCGCCTTCTTGCTCGGCGGCTCTCCAACCTTCTTCTCCTCCCCTCCTTCTCCATCCTCCTCCACATTCATCACGAAACTCTCTGCCGTATGCATCGGCTCCGCCACACCCGTGCTCTCTATGATCAAGTAGTCAAACCGACCATCTCGTGCTAGTTTGCCGATCTCTTCCACCAGGTCCTGACGGAGGTCGCAACAGATGCAGCCGTTGGACAGTTCAATGATCTTCTCCTCCCTCTGTATGAGCGCAGTGTCCTTGATAATGTTGGCATCGATGTTGATTTCCGCCATGTCGTTCACCAGCACTGCGCACTTCATTCCCTTTCTGTTCCGAAGGATCTCCTCGAGCAATGTCGTCTTGCCTGATCCGAGGAACCCGGACAGGAGAGTGACAGGAAGACGCTTGTCGGTCATGATGGCAAGCAGCAGCTAGTTGGGGCTGTTGATGATGTTGGCTGAATAGGAGCAGCGAGGGAGACAAGGAGCAAGGGAAAGGGTTGAGACGAGCTAGGGATGGGAGCCAGGACAGGAGAGAAGAGGGGAGGGAGGGAGAGAAGGAAAACGGGAGGAGGGGGCAGTAGGAGGAAGGGGAGGAAGGGAGCTTTACAGGTTGAGCACGTGCAGTTTCTTCTTGGAAAGTCGAACAAACTTTAACCCACCCCCTGTTGATATAGTGAAATATCAGACAAGACTACGGGTTTAATGAATGCAAATGTTCTTTTTAATTATTGATCGAAAGAACTCTTCAAGAGTCGTTCTTCTTGGTAACTTTCAATTCTGTCTAGCGTCTCATGGCGCCTGTCCGCCC